CAAAGTGGGATCATGAACCAGGCACACCACAGGTCGCTGGGAAAGTGCCATGAGATAACACAAGTGGGGGTTTAACCCGAGACAGACGCAAATGTTAACAGCGACTTTTACTCAGGCCCAGAGCAGAAAACCAGTAATTGGAACTGAGCCCGAGGTCAGGTCAAGTTATCAGCAAGTCTGACCTGCTCTTGCTACTTGAACACTGAGATTGATCCAAGGCCTTGGGGAGAGGCCGGTGGGAAGAAAACTGCAGACTGGGGTGTAAAGTTGGGGAGAAAACCTCCCCCACCTGGGCAGCGGGAGTGTAGTGTGTGGCTCAGACCATTGCTTCTCCCAGGGGCGATAGTGCTCCCTCATAGGGAGGGAAGTCCTCCCGGCTTGCGTCAATTCCTCCATCATCTCAGGTTTCACAGAGGGAGTCAGAATGTTTTCTATTTCTTTAGAGAGAAGGGAAAGCCACACAAACACAGGAAACAATAGCCAGTTCTGAGAGCATCTTTCCTCCCCTTCCCACTCCCCTCCCCGACTCCCTCCTCCAAAAGCACTGGAGCAAAAGAAACAAGAATAAATTGAAAAGCAAACTCCTCTTTCTAGTCCATAAAAAAGATCAAAAGCAGTGGCAGGGGAGGAGAGGAGGATGCGGACCAAACATCCGTGCTTCAGAGAGACAAGAGGAATCCTCAGATTGGGCCATAAAAGGTTTATGGCGTCCTAGGAATAATTGAGTATTTCCTGGTTTGCTGTGCTGAGATTTTATGAGCCAAGCAGGGGACCTTTAAAGCTTGTTTTCCTTTGCTCTTCAATAGGTTTAATTAAGCTTGGACTTGAGGCTTCAAGTTGTTTGAAAACTTGAGACTTAACCCAAAACAACCCAAGAAACCTACATAACCACTGAAGCAGTAAGGACTTGGATTGGTTACGTGGGTGTTCCCAATGGGCTAATAGTTTAGTACCCTCTCAATACAAAAATTTTACAGTTTCTCCTTAGCAATCACCCAGAACGTGCTGAAATAAAAATCTTTAATGATACAGTTCATCTACCTCTTTGTTTGCCTTCGTATCTTAAGTCAGCTGCCTGGTCCTCCTCTTTAGCAACATGACTAACCTGTGCCTTCTTTGTCTTAAACCTTTGTCCCCTCCCACCCACTAGACGTCATTCCCTTCCTTATATCAGAAACTTATTTCCTTTCTCGCTTCCATATGATCTCAGACTTCGCTTAAAATTAGATGCATCCATTACTTAGTAATACATTCTTCAATCGATATGAAAGCAGGGTCCATTACATGAAGGAAAAATGCGTTGCTTTCAACACTAACAGCAACACAATAACGAGGGATTGTCTAGATGAGAGTATCCTTAAGGAAGTATCCATCCTTAAAGGAGGATAAAATAGGAAACTTATCCTATAGCCTGATTAAGACCAGAACCAATTTGTGTGTCTACACTCAAGTGTTTTATAGTATTATTTCTTGTGGAAACTAGAGTTAATTAGTGTAGTATTCACTTAAACTTTTAAAATTGGACTTTATTTTTTAGAGTAACTTTAGGTTCACAGCAACATGGATCAGAAAGTACAGAGTTCCCATACACCCTCCCCCCAATGCCCATACTCTGCCTCCCGCATGATCAACATCCTCTGCCTGAGTACATGTGTTAACTGGATGAACCTACATCCAGTATCCGCCAAGTTCACAGTCTATGCTATGGTTCACCCTTGGTGCTGTACATTCTATGAGCGGACAAATGTATAATGACATATGTCTGCCATTACAGTATCGTATGGAATAGCTTCACGGCCCTAGAAATCCCTCCCCTCTTCGCCCTGGCCTGATAGCTCAGCTGGTAAAGAATCCACCTGCAATGTGGGAGACCTGGGTTTGATCCCTGAGCTGAGCTCCAGGGAAGATCCCCTGGAGAAGAGAAAGGCTATCCACTCCAGTATTCTGACCTGGAGAATTCCACAGACTTTACAGTCCATGGGGTCACAAAGAATTGGACATGACAGAGCGACTTCAGCTCACTCACTAAGCCCTGACAACTACAGATCTTTTCACTGTCTCCATAGTGTTGTCTTTTTCCAGGATTTTATACCACTGGACTCATGGTATGTAGCCTTTTCAGATTCTTTCACTTAGTAACATGCATTTAAGTTTCTTCTATGTCTTTGTAAAAATAGCCTTTATTTTTGGGAGTAGCAGTATTTAACTTTTATTTCAAACAAACTGGCTTCTAAACTGGTAACCTGAGACTCCCTGTATCAGACTTGCTCTGAGCATGGCCAGAAGCAGAGGAAGCTCAATTTCCACCTTAGTGGATGCTGGACTGCCTCTCCTGGCCAGGTGAGCACAGGAGAAGTACCTCTCCTTATGCAGAGGCGCTGCCAGAAGTGAGGAGGTGGAGAAGGCTGATGGTGCCTTTAAATCCAGGTCCAGAGAATGTTCACCACACCCAGCTGCTCCTCTCTCTTGAGTGTACCTGTCATTTTATGGCTTTGGGTCTCAAATTTCAATAGTCCTTGAAAAAGGGCAATATTCCCTGTTTTTATTTTTTATGTATTTTTATTTTATACTGGAGTGTAGTTGATTATGTTTCAGGTATACAGAAAACAGATTCAGTTAAAAATACACGTGTATTCATTCTTTTTCAGATTGTTTTCCCGTATAGGTCTTTACAAAATGTTGAGTATACTTGCTTGTTCTACACACTAGGTCTTTGTTGATTATCAATTTTATGTAATACTAGTGTGTATATGGTAACCCCAAATTCCTAATTTATCCCTTCCCCCATCTTTCCCCTTTGATAAGTTTGTTTTCTATGCCTGTGCGTCTGTTTCTTTCCTTGTTTCTAAAGACAAGAGTTTTTAGTTGAGAGAGACAGAGCTCCTTCTTGAAATCCTAGTGTGATTCTAGGACTTGGAGTATCCATGTTTACACATCTTCTGTCGGGCATCGGGTACCACAGAGCGTTGGATGCTAACTCATCCTCCTGTGCATCTAGCCTAGCGAGCCTCTTGGCTCTCGGTGCTGCAAGGAATGCTCAAGAAAACAAGACTGCCCCTGCCCCTCTATTTCCTCTGGATGATGTGATGGGTCCCCTGCCCCACTAGAAACTTTTAGTATGTTTAAATGAGCTATAAGCTTAGAACTGAACACTTAGGGTAAAAGCAGACACAAGAACCCTCTCATTCCCTTCAAAGCAGAAGTTACTACTGGATACTCAATCCCTTCAGCCCGTCCTTGACAGACAGCAGCCATTCTGTATTAACAACAACTAAAGATGCCTCTGTCCCAACGATTTCTTTAATCCTGGAATTCTCAAAGGGGCATGAAAATTAAGTAACTACATCACAACTTCATGTCTTTTCTTCTCTATATCCATTGTGTCTGATTAGTCCTCAGCTCTGGATCCAAATTTTATCCTGTTAGAATGTCTGTGGGCTGATGAGCCTCCAGCAATCTTTCAGATGTGCCATTTAAAGATTCATGTGATACCATCCATAAGAGTCACGGGTGTTGCCTCTTTGGATGAGCAACAAGAAGTCATGAAGGTTTTCCAGTTCAAGGTCCTCATTTTACGGATGGAAAAAGCAAGGCCCTCAAAGATCCGGTGAAAGTGAAAGTGAAGTCGCTCAGTCATGTCCAACTCTTTGCAACCCCATGGACTGTAGCCTACCAGGCTCCTCTGTCCATGGGATTTTCCAGGCAAAAGTATTGGAGTGGGTTGTCATTTCCTTCCCCAGAGGATCTTCCCAACCCAGGGAATTGAACCCTGGTCACCCACATTGTGAAAGTGAAAGAAAGTGAAAGTCTCTTAGTCATGTGCGACTCTTTGTGACCCCCTGGACTATACGGTCCATGGACTTCTCCAGGTCAGAATACTGGAGTGGGTAGCCTTTCCCTTCTCCAGGGGATCTTCCCAACCCAGGGATCAGACCCAGGCTTCCTGCATAGCAGGCAGATTCTTAACCAGCTAAGTCACCAGGGAAGCCCAAGAATACTAGAGTGGGTAGCTTATTCCTTCTCCAGTGGATCTTTCTGACCCAAGAATTGAACCAGGGTCTCCTGCACTGCAGGCAGATTCTTTACCAACTGAGCTAGCAGGGAAGCCCACATTGTAAGCAGATGCTTTATCGTCTGAGCTATCAGGGAAGATCCGGTGACTTGTGCTTAATTTTCTGCAGAAGACCTGAGTCTAGAAACTGTCTTTCCTGAATCTAACTTCTGCTCTCTTTCCACATGTATCGTGGCTGCCCATTTTCATTTTTCATTAAACAAATGCAGTCAGCACTAAAGTTTCCACCAGGTCCCATGGCAGCAGTTATCAGCAACAGTCAAGTCAGCGCTATGATTACCCCCATTTCACAGAGGAGCCACCCCAGGGAGGTTATTGACTTGCCAAAGTCAGAGTTTATGGAAGGCTGTGCATCCTGAGAACACAGCAGATCTAACCCAGCGTCTGTGGTCCAACTGCCCACTCCCCACGCTCTGGTATCTCCACTGCTCAACACTACAAGCAGGCTTATTGGTGTTGGCCCTTGTCACAAATTCCAAATGAGATATAATATCTCCATCTGGAAAGGCAGGCCTTAGCTCAACAAGCAACATTAGATCAAGATTTAACTGTGTGTCAGGTCCGAAGTTCCTTTTCAGGAACAATTTTCTTTACAGTGTTAAGATCCTTTGAGGATCTCAAAAAACAATCATTTCTCTCTCCTCATGGGTGCCTTGTGGCCTGATGGAATGTTGATCTGTTTGTCATCTGTGTTTTAATTATTCAAAAGGTTATGGAAAGAGAGAACTAGGCTGCTCTCCCATGCAAATATCAGCCAAATATCTTTTTCCCCTTTGATATAGAATGTGAAACAGGACGCACTGTAATTCTTAAAGATGACTTTTATCTCATCATACCTGCTAGGATTCCTGTATTACGGGAGAGTAGCAAAGCCACTGGCTGCTTTGGCAGTTTGTGGCTTTCTTGGCTTTTTTTTTCTTTTGATAGAATGGAGGGGAAGGATGTGAAGAGAGTCATCATATTTGATTTTGGAGTGAAGGTAAATGTTTCTCTTAAGTCCGTCAGAAAAATCCTGTAGTTCTTTAGGGATCAATGAACACTATTAACGAAAAGGCGAGGCCAATACATAATGAGGATGAATGGGTCTTTTTAAAGTTTAATCTGGGGGCTCCCCTGGTGGCTCCATGGTAAAGAAGCACTCTGCCAATGCCAGAGATGGGTTCGATTCCTAGTCCAGGGGGATTCCACGTGCTGTGGAGCAACTAAAGCTGTGTGTCACAGCACCTCAGCCCACGTGCCACAACTACAGAAGCCCACACGCCCTAGAGCCCATGCTCTGCGAGGGGAGAAGCAACTTCGGTGAGAAGCCCGTGTGTGCACTGCAAGAGCAGGCAGCCCCTGCTCACTGCAGCTGGGGAGCGTGGAGGTTTGTGGGCTCCATGAAAATGCAGACGGGGCTTAAACAACGCAACTTTGTGTGTGCACAGTTCTGGAGATTGGAAGCCCACAGTGAAGGTACCAGCCGGGCCTGTTCCTGGAGCCTCTCAGCTTGGCTTGCAGATGCCGCCTCCCCACTGGGTCCTAACGTGGTCCTCTCTCTGGGCAGGCTCATCCCCGGGGCTCCGTGTGTCCAGATTGCCTCTTTTTAGGAGATGGTTGGATGGCGTCGCTGACTCGGTGGACAGGAATTCTAGCCAACTCCAGGAGATTGTGGAGGACAGGGAAGCCTGGTGTGCTGCAGTCTACGGGGTCACAGGGTCAGACACAACCTAGCAACTGAACAGCAACAGACGAGGACACCAGCCAGACTCTATCAGAGCCCACACCAAGGACGTCATTGTGCCTTAAACACCTCTCTCAAGGCCCCGATTCAGAATACAGTCGCATTCTGAGGCCCTGGGGGTGAAGACTCCAACATAAAGATTTGAGGGGACACAAGTTAACACAATTCAGAGAACTGGACGTGGGGCATCTTCCTCGTCACGTCAGTTCTCTAATGGGTCCTGTAAAAATCACTGATTTTCGGTATGTCCAGCTTTTCCTGGTTGTAAGGACAAAAGTGATGACGTCCGTACTCCTTACCTGTTTGAACTGAGTCTGAAAGTCTTTCACATTCTACTTTCACTGTCGTTTACTTGAGTTCATTGAAAGAAGAGACTGCAGCTACTGGATCTGGGATGCTGACTGGAGAGAAAGTAAGATGCTGAAATAATTGATTAAATAAATTAAATGCTCATTTGAAGTGGTTAACTCCATCAGCATTTTAAAAATGGGAAAACTAGAGTTCAGATATTAAATGATTTAGCTTAATAATCAATAGGGACCATATCCCAGGACCTTTGATCTAAGTTTTATATTCTTGCTGTAAAACAGAGAGCCATAAGCAACCTTTATAATTTAGTGTTATATTGCATTTACTAAGTGCTATATAAATTAAAGGGAGGGAAGAAGAGTATGTGCTGAAATAATGATGACTAAATTTATAGAAGTTATTTATAGAATATATTGAACTAGACTTCCAGAGGAGGCTAGAATTTATTTGCTTGGTGGGAGAGGGTGCTCCAGGTGTTTTCTAGGGAACAGAGTAAGCAAAATGAGGAGTATTTCTTGGTGGAAATAATCCGTCATGTGAAATGAAGCTAGAGAGTAAAGTGGGGCTAAAATTCTCATTTGAAAACTTAAAATAATTCTGTCTTGCGCTTCAAAGCCTGGACAAGTAGTTCTTTGTTTCACTTCAAAGTGGCCAAGTGGTTGATTCTTCCATAGCATTTAAGATTGATGGTTTATGGGGTCCTTTGTCAGTGGCTTGCCTTTCATCCTGCACCATGACGTCCTGGCCATTAGCAAATGATTTATCTGTGTGGCGCTCTAATACAGCACCCAGACAGTGCCTTTTGGGAGGGCTTGCAGAAAGAATGGATGCCTTCCTTGCCAGAATGGTGAGTCCTGTGCCTGCTTGAAGGTTTGTGCATCAAAACCTAGAAGCAGATAGGAATGAGCTAACATTCTCAAGTGGCTGGAAAGGACAGGTTGAAGAAGGGTGATGCTAATCAAGAGAGGCTTGATGCACCAAGGCAGTTTCAGAAATTAATGACTAACTCCTTAAATTAGGTAGTAACGCTAAGAGTCTCCCAGAGATGCACCTTTAGGAAAACCACTCAAGAAGGTTTTGAGCTTGAACATCATAGCCAGGCTAGTCACAGACTGTCTTATGATCAAAGCACTAGAGACCTAGAGGAGGACTTAACTTCCTCATCTGTCATCTGATCCACAGAAGGTCTCTAAGGCCCAACCAGGGGCGGCTGCTTACTTGAAGCTAGGCATCTCCACTGGGCAATGATATTGCCTCCTGAACTTCTTGAACAACTCTGGGCTGTAAATTTAAGAGACAAAGGCAGTGTGTGGAATGTGGTGGTGGTAGTGTCATGACAGGTCCTGGGAATTTGAGGTTACATTCTTTGGTCGGCTTCTCCCCGTGGTTCTCTGAGGGGAATAACCTCTGTCTCCCAAACTCTTAATTCCTTTCTCAGCTCAAAGAGTCACTCACACTCTTTGTTTCTGACCATGAAATGATATGGATATTATGCTTTTTATGTGTGGTTATCAGGTAAACAAAGGATTAGGATTTAGAGAAAGCCATGCTGGCTCAGATGGTAAAGAGTCTACCCGCAATGCAGGAGACCTGAGCTCGATCCCTGGGCTGGGAAGATCCCCTGGAGGAGGACATGGCAACTCACTCCAGTATTCGTGCCTGGAGAATCCCATGGACAGAGGAGCCTGGTGGGGTGCAGTCCATGACGTTTCAAAGAATGGACAGGACTGAGCAATTAAGCACGTGCCTATGTACTATAAAGTAATGGGTTGGCCAAAATGGTTATTCAAGTGTTTCCATAAGATGGTCCAAAAAAACCTGAATGGACTTTTTGGCCAGCCTAATACTTCCCCCTGTGAGGAGTTTTCTAAAACACCGTGAAAGATGGCAGCTTAGCCACAACTTTATTAACTGTTCTTGTTACTGCCCTGTAGTCACCGGAGAACAGGGCACCACAGTTGGAGTCATCAGGTGCTCATGGAGATTAAATCTGCCTCACAGAAGAAAGGATGTGCTAACTTTCCTTAAGGAAAGCTAGGGATGACCGAGGCTGAGGAACGAAGTTGATATTGTGGAATATTACAGAATAAAAGGATGTCTCGTACATCTTAAGAGATGCTCGAATAGGCAGTCAGGGACTCATGACCAAGCTGATAAGAAATAATCCCAAACTGGAAAATGAAAGCTAAAATAGGGATGATGGGTGGGAAAAAGACAAGAAGAGGATTGCAGAATCAAGCTGAAGCAAAAACAAATAGCCAAGCCGGCCGGCACAGCATTCCGGAGCCAGGGACTTGGTAGGGTCTGACGAACCTCCCACTCTGCGGTGTCTCTGATACTCTGGGGGAATTTCTCCTGCCTAATTATTCGACCATGTAACAGCGAGCTTCAGGTAAGAAGAAAAGTTTATCTCAGGTAGACAAGATTCTGGAAGATGGAGAAGAGATTACTTACTCCCAGAAATGCATCATCTTGTTTCTGTCGACATAAAGAAAGGGCGATGTTTTCTCCTGGAAATGTAATCACGGAGGCTATTCCATCACATTTTAATTTCTACTTTCTCCCCAAAGAATTTTTTTCTCCTACTTAGAGATGTTGCAGAATCCATTAATTTGATATGATGCAGGTTGTTATAAGTAATATTTCTTCCTGCAATAACTAGATAGAAATGCTAAATTTAATATATTGGTTTTGGGGAAACCATTTTCCCATCTTCTCCAACTAATTGCACATTATAACATGTTAATTATAACTGTAAATATAATGGCAAGGGGAATTCAGGGAAAATATTCAATGCCTTTCAAAAGGAAATCCAGAAACTATTTGTGGCTGGTCTGTGTGTGTGTGTGTGGGTGGGTGGGTGTTTCTGTGATGTCTCTTTTCCAAGGTGAGTAAGAGCCCCTCCAGGCTGCCTACAGTAGGTGTATAATGGAGACATCAAAAAGGAACCAAGAGCCATAAAGGGTAGATATGGGTGTTAGCTTAACATCCATCTCTTTGACACAGAATCAACTGGAGGAAATAGCAGGATATCTGTTTTCTTGATTTTTTCATATGCTCTACATACATTCTGATTGTGTTTATATGTCATCAAGGTACCACTAATTTCTTAACCTATTTTTAAGTATGGAGTTGCTAGAGCTACAGCATACTCATATTCTTTTTTTAAAAGTTTTAATTGAAGTACAATTGATCTACAGTGTACAGAAAACAGTGATTCAGTAAGTGTGTGCATATAAATATATATACACATATATCTGTAATTGTTATAAATAAGAAAACAAAGCCTAGAGTTGAAGTTTCTGTTCTTTTATTCTGGGCCTGCTGCTTTTATTTATCAGGTTTTGGCTATTTTTCTGCTTTTCCTTTGTTGACATTCACCCATCATAACAAACCGTTGCTCACCTCTGTCTAAACCCAGTCCTTTGTTTAAATCTCTGCTTCTCCTGTTTCAGTTTTCCCTCTTTTTCCTAAACAGAGAGCCCGGGAAGGTAGAGCAACAGAGAGAAATGATACATTTCGGTCAGGAGCTTTCTCTAAGTTACACTTGCTAGGCTCTGGTCTTTCATATCTGACTTAATATACCCCATGGAGGTCATTTTCAGTCTTAAAGCTTCTTACCATTCTTTCAAAAAGTTAGAGGTTAGTTTCTTGCTTTTAAAAAATTAATAGCAACTAATTGGGACTGTGATAAAGGCAAAAAGGAACTCTATTATGAATGACTGATGTAGGTCTCTTATGAGAAAATGTATGGAAGAACTAATGTGGTTATTTCTTTTTCAGTCGCCCTTTTTACAATGGATTCCCACTGCAGAAAATTCACATAGAGCCAACAGAGTGTGACAAGGGAATATACTGCTCAAACAGCCAGCTAGCTTAACTTAAGATTCAGTTAATTCAGCAGTAAACATCAGAGGAATGGGACTTCCCTGGTGGTCCAATGGTGAAGACCCTACCTTCCAATGAGCGGGGCATGGGTTCGGTCCCTAGTCAGGGAACTAAGATCTCACATGCCCCGTGGTGCAGAACAACAAATGCTGCTGGAAAACCTGAATAGCTCTATGCAAAAAAAACCCCAAAACCAGCAACAAAAACTGATCATACCTTGCACCATATGCAAAGATTAACTCAAAATGGATCATAGACCTAAGCAAACAAACAAACAAAATCAAAAGAATCAGTTGTGATGATTTTCACGGCAAGGCAGGCCGGAGTGGAAATATTGTTGGATTAAATATTGACAGATCTGATCTCTAACCAGGCATCTGATAAAACTGTGTGCCTTTGGAAATGTAATTTCATTTCTCTGATGTCTGTGGAGCTGAGGACAGATCTGCAGGTTCAGCTACCCATCACTGCAGAGAACACCCCTTGGAAGCTTCCAGGCTATCTTTGCTGGCTCCAGGTGAGTCTCAGGCCTGCCCAGGTTCAAGGGGAGCAGAAGCAGGTTCTGCCTCATCTACTAGAGCATTTACAATGGGAGATCCTCTTTTGGTCATTAAAAAAAAAAAAATACGTTTCCACTTAAGCCTCCATTTTGAATGTTTAATCATTGCCTTGGAATATGGAATGTTTATTATCCTTTTAAAAAATAATTAGCCATGACTCAAATATTTTTTGCTTATAACGTCTTGTAGGCTTTCTTTTCTATATATGTATTTAATTAATTTATGTATCTTAATCACCCAGCTTTATGGGGATATAATTGACATATGACATTCAGTAAGTTTAAGGTGTGTAGCCTGTTGATTGGCTCATTTACATATTGCAAAATTATTATCAGCACAGCGTTAACTAACACCTCCTTCTCGTCACTTAATTACCATTTCTTTTTTGTGGTGAAAACATTTACCATCTACTTTCTTAGTGAAGTTCAAGTTTACCATGCAATGTTATTAACTATAATCACTACAGTGAGAGTGAAAGTCACTCAGTCGTGTCTGAGTCTTTGTGACCCCATGGACTATACAGTCCATGGAATTCTCCAGGCCAGAATACTGGAGTGGGTAGCCTTTCCCTTCCCCATCGGATCTTCCCAACCCAGGGATCAAACCAGGGTCTCCTGACTTGCAGGCAGATTCTTTACCAGCTGAGCTACCATCTAATGTCTGTACATTAGATGCCCAGGACTTTCAAATCTTATAACTGGAAGTTTGTCTACACATACTTCTACTATTCATCTAAAATCCTGCTGAGACTATATTTTCAAACATAGAGGTTTTATATCTTAAGAGCTATAGGTCTGATAGACAAGTTACTCATACCAATGAAACATCTTTGCTTTTGAGCTGGTCTGCACAATTCTATGAGGACTGCTGTGATTGAATTAAGCCCTAGCTAGTATCTATGGGCCAAATCCATGAGGATCTCTCTGGTGGAAAATCATTATATTTGCTTCCATGTTGAGAAAAAAAATGATAAAATTTCCTGTGGGCCTCAGAATGAAGATATTGCAATGGCAGACAGAGGCATGTGGTTGCGTAGGTTTGCTCTGGGCCCTCACCGGAGTTGAGTGAAGCTCTTGGCAGTGGTCCTGGACCCTGTGGTTTCTGTCCTTAGCCATCCCTCCCCAGTCTCAATGGAGGCACCATTGTGTGCTGGTTAGGAGCCCAGACAGCCCAGGTTCCACACCTTCATCATCCGGCTTCCCAGACGCGTCCTCAGCCCAAGCCTCAGTTTCCTCCTGTGTGAAAATGCCACAGTGATAGAAGCCATGAAGAGGTTTACGTGCGGATAAGTGACTGCGTAAAGCACTCGGCTCAGTGTCCGGCATGAAGACTATGTGGGAACTGCTTTTGTTACCAGTTTTATTTCATTATCACCATCCTTGGGTTTCTCAGTGTCTCAGTCCTTGAAGAAGTTGTCCCAGCTCTCAGGATTCTCGACAGCTGGGTGACCCAGTGTTTCTCTTGGGCATCGTTTTTAAGGAGCAGCTCAGAGCAGAGACACCAAGATTCCTGGGAGCTGCTGCAAACCCAGACAGCTTCTCATGCAGTTCATTTTTAACTCTACCTGCCGGGCTCCTGCTAGCATTGTTATTGGGGTGAAAGCGATGCCTGAAACATCACTGCTCAGACCAGGGGTCGGGCCCTGGTGCACTGACTCTCATTGAGAGGTGCTCCCGTGCCTAGATGTCCTTTCCTGGAAATTTCCAGCTGTAGATACACACTTTTGAGAAGAAGCATCCAGATGCACATTTCTCATACTTCATTCTGAGATAAGATTACCAGACATAGAATGACCTGTACTCTTTGGGTTAGTTGTGCCAACACTGACTTAGAGCAACTCAGAGAAACGTGATGTACATGGCTGCCCTGGGTGAGTTTGGAAGCGGTTTCTGATCACCTTCTCCTCCTGACTTCAGAACAATGTCATTCGCCTTGTCCCCTGTGGAATGACTCCCACTCTGGTTTCCAATCAGTCTTGGCTCCAGGATGTGTTCTGAGCAAAGCAGAGTGCAAGGGGAGGTGACCTGGGGGGCGGGGTGTCTCTGCCTTCCCCTCTTTGACATCTAAGGAGCCTTATCACACCCTGTGCTGACTGCCCGAACGTGGGAGGTTTTAGTTGACTCTGTTGTCAAGCCTCACCTCCTGTAATGTGTACTTCGGCTGATTTTTTGAAGTTAGAACAGGCCTTTGTATCAATAAGCAAAACACTTTCTGACCTATGAGATGTCGCTGGTCCTGATTCCTCTTCCTCATCATCACCCCTTCCAGCCAGGCGTTCATAGCACTCTGCCGAACTTGGACTAGACCTGGACATGCACGCAACTCCTCCCAGTCCTTCCAAAGCCTTGTCATCTTCCAGGACCCTGCTTTATATGCAGGAAATAAATAAAAATGTACTTCCGTATAACCACCAAATGGAAACTAATGCAAAAGATAAGGCATTGTTCTCATTGTGAAATAATTCATTTTATTTCACAAATAAATAAAGGGGGGGGGCAAAAAAAACACAAACTCATCTGGACATTTCTTGAGATAGCAAGTTAGCCTGTGGCTGTGTTCAGACTGATTTAAGAGCATCACTTTAGTCCACAACTCATGATTATTTCCTGCTAATAAATGAGAACTTCCTCATTTGGATCTCTGTGGAGTCACCCCTTCCAGTGGAGTTAATTGCCAGGTCCCCCAGAGGGCCTGCAAGGACCACAGAGCCTGAGTCTCTGACCCCATCTCCCACCTCTTCCAGTCTCCTACACTTGTTGGAGCCCCAGGTTTCTCTCTCTATTTTGAACACACCATGTTGGTTTCCTCCTCAGGCCCTTTGTGCTTGCCATGGGCCTGTCTGAACTTGCCCTTCCTCCAAGCTTTGATTATGGATCACTCCCATCATTCTGCAAAGGATCCTAAGCCAACCCTCCAGGGCCTTCCCCTGGGCGCCCATTAATGTCAGCTCCCCACCGCTCAGACTCCATTCCACTCCCTCTCAAACCCAAGCCATAACCCCTATACCCTTTTATTCCACAGAACTTCCCCCTAAGTTCCACTCGTCTTGTTTACTCCCAGGCCCTCCCAGTGGGCATCTGCTTTCCTGGTATCATCTTTAACTACTCTCAAGAGTGTTCTGGTTTAAACACGAAATTATACAAGTATCGTATGTGTCACTTCTAGAAATGATATTTATTTTTTCTGGCATTTATTTATATCTATTTATCTACTTTTTCCTATATAAATATATATTTATTTATTACTTTTTATTTTTACAGAAAAAATTCTACATTCTTCACTAGAATATAGGAACAGGAGAGGAACAGATTATCATTGTGCCAGGTAATTATTTAGGCACCAGGGAGGCAAGAGTGAATACAAATTGTGAGAACTCAATCAGTTATTTTTTGATGGAACCAGTTAAATGAAATGAATGACAGGTTCCACATCAAGTGTTTGTACACAAACAAACACACATAAGTGAAGATTTTGGATCAGGTTTTATTTCACAGTCGTGTGATCTCCTGCTTCAAATCATATATAAATAGGGATTATCTCAGTCATTTGGAGGAATGAGATTGCAAAGAAATTGTCAAAAATTCATTGGCAAAAAACCTTGTTTGGGAATGTTGCTTCAGCTACATTGCATAAACTTTCCTAAAGAATCCAGTGATTTCTCCATGGGTAGCTGGAGTCTTCTCTGGATTTTTGTCAATTTTTTCTTTTCAACATCTGGCCTTGGTACATACAAGTTATTCCAGATAATTTAGAATAAATTCTAAATTTCACAGTCAAGAAAATCAGCAGAACACCTCTGTCTGGAGATTATAAGGAAAAGATAAATAATATTGTCAAGTTTAAAAAGTCTCCAGTTTTTATTCAAAATTACGGCAGAATCTTTCAGGTATTTTCCACTTGGTTTCTGACTTTGGGGAACTTGAATCCCTTGAGAAAGACAGCCTCTACTGGGGTAGGGTCCAAGACAGTGGATCAGTCTGGTCTCTGTCACTAATCTGGGCACCGCGGTGTACACTCTTCATATTAGCAGGAAGCAGAGAAGCGGCAGGGTCCAGAGGACAGTGCACGTTTAGTATTTATGGGAGGAGTTTATTGATCCGCAGACGGGACAGCGATACTGGGGTCCCTGCTGGCTTTTGCACACGGAGCCATGGATGAAGTAAGAACAGATCTTGCTTTGAGAAGATAGTCCTGGGTGGAGAGGGGGTAGCTGAGGTTGTGTTTTAACCCCCTCCCGTCCCCTTGACTTGGAAGCTTCAAGCAGCACACCATTTGCCTCACTTCGTGTGAAAATGCGGTCAGTAGCAAAGACCACCTGTTTTCAGTGTGTGTAAAACTGATAAAATAAAGATTGACCCAGAGAACTATTTAATCCTGCATTTGTGTCTTTCCTACCCCAAAGATGACTTATTCACATCTGCATGCTAGACACATTTTTGAATGGATACTTCAGCAGCTGGGATGTGGTGAATTGCAGAAGACCAAGGCACTCCAACCCTACAAGTCAGAACTGTCCAGAGAAGTGGCAAAATCATACGCATGTTTAAAAGCAGCCTAGAACTGGGAGCGTGGGGAAACCCAGCTGAACTTCCTTCTGGTAAGATTCAAGCCCTTCTAGCAGAGACTGGGGGTACGTTCATCCCTGGCACATTTCTCTGCTCAGTGTGTGTGGGATGTTGCACCCACCTGTCTTTTAAACTTCTGCCAACTATAAGTTGGCACTTGCCATCTGCCTCTACAAGGATTAAATCAGGAGCCACTATAGCCTCTGACCTTCAATACCCCCTGGAAGGAGTCCAGGGTGGAGGTCAGGAATGAGGCCCTCTGCATTCTGGGAAAAACTGGAAGTTCTTCAGATAGATATTGTCAGAAGATTTTATGAGCCCAACTCTTGCATCTCCCCACGTCTAGAAAAGCACCAAAATCATTAATGAGGGGCATCAGCTCCTCATAACAAGCAGCCAGCATCTGCCCCTTCACTAAAATAACATTTGCAACTGACCTTCATCCTGCTTCTGTGGAGCAGTCTCTCAGAGCTATCCGAAATGCTGCCTCCCAGGCCATAGTCCTCATTTTGCCCCCAATAAAGCTAAACTGACAGCTCTCACATTGTGCATTTTCTTAGTCAACTTTTCATCATCCCCATGTTGGCCAACAAATTGATGCCTTTGAATTGTGGTGTTGGAGAAGACTCTTGAGAGTCCCTTGGACTGCAAGGAGATCAAACCAGGCAATCCCAAAGGAAATCAACCCTGATGGGAAGGGCCGATGCTGAAGTTCCAATCCTTTGGCCACCTGATGCAAAGAACTAACTCATTGGAAAAGACCCTGATGCTGGGAAAGATCGAGGGCAGGAGGAGAAGTGGGTGTCAGAGGATGAGATAACTGGGTGGCATCACTGAGTTGATGGACATAAGTTTGAGAAAACTCTGAGAGGTAGTGAAGGACAGGGAAACCTGGCGTGCTGTAGTCCATAGGGTCGCAAAGAATAGCAGATGACTTAGTGACTGAACAGTAACAACAGATGTGGGCTGAGAGGATGGTTTGGAATTCTGAGAGCTCCCAGTATGGAGTGATCCACACCTATGCATCACATCCTTCTCATGGGACCTTCACGGGTGTGTGGTAGCAGCATCAGGGCAGAGGGCAGAACACGAGGCTGAGTAAGCACCCCTGATGTTCAGGGCATAAAACCTTGACCTAGTACATGCCTGATCCTTCTGCAGGTCTGAGAATGGTCAGGAAGGCTGAGGGAGATTCCTAGGGTACAGTAACTTCTGCATGGTGGCAAGGCAGAAGCAAATCAAAGCCTGCCCCTTTTGTAGACGGATGGGGAAAGATCTCCAAAGGCTCAGGAAGTGGCTGCTGGCTTGTAAAGCTTGAAATTTCAGAATTTCCCCAATTCTCAGGTGCTAAACCTTGCTGAAGGGGCTTCCCTAATAGCTCAGTGGGTAAAGAATCTGCCCGCAATGCAGGAGACACAGGAGATGCAGTTTTGATCCTTGGGTCAGGAAGATCCTCTGGAGAAGGGAAATGGCAACCCACTCCAGTATTCTTGTCTGAAGACTCTCATGGACAGAGGAGCCTGGCAGGCTACGGTCCAAAGGGTCACAAAGAGTTGGACATGACTGAGCCACTAGGCACACACAAGCCTTGCTGAAGGGACAGTCTTGACCCCTGCCCTCCAGGTCTGTGAAGCCATGGGTAGGATGAGTCTAATTCAACCTACAACAAAGCCCAGACTCAGTGCAACGCAGATATGTTTGACTCAGCATCCCACCCTTTCCAGGGGGAAAACACCGTCTATTGTGTTGTAGTTCAGTTGCTAAGCCATGTCCAACTCTTTGTGACTCCATGGATTGCAGCATGCCAGGCTCCTCTGTCCTTCACTGTCTCCTGGAGTTCACTCAAATTCATTTCCATTGCGTCAGTGGTGCTATCTAACCATCTCATCTACTATTGTTCCCTTCTCCTCCTGCCCTCAATCTTTCCCAGATTGATAGCATAGTCACAAGAAGAATTTTTCAATTCTTTTAGCATAGTCAATGAAGCAGAAGTAGATGTTTTTCTGGAATTCCTTTGCTTTCTCTATGATCCAGCAGATGTTGGCAATTTGATCTCTGGTTCCTCTACCTTTTCGAAACCCAGCTTGTACATCTGAAAGTTCTCAGTTCACGTACTGTTGAAGCCTATCTTGCTGACAAAGCATCACTTTGCTGACAAAGGTCCATATAGTCAAAGCTATGGTTTTTCCAGTAGACATGAATTTGAGCAAACTTCAGGCGATCGTAGAGGACAGGGGAGCCTGGTGTGCTGCCAAAGGGTCACAAAGAGTCAGACACGATTTAGTGATGGAACAACAAAAACAATTTACACTTTTTAATGTGATAGATCAACAAAGACAGTTTGAGTGCAGGATGATGTCAGTAGAGAATTCCACCAGACCATTTAAAGAAAAATATTATCAATATTGCACATGTTTTTTTCCAGAAACGAGAGGAGGAGGAAGTACTTCTCAATAGTTTTATGAGGCTGGCATAGTCATGAGGCCAGAAATCTGACAGGGCGTTACTAGAAAATTACAGATTAAAATCCTTTGTGAACATGATGATAAAAACAGGACAGTAGTTTTTAAAAACTATTTTATTGATGTATAGGTGATTTACAATGTTGTATTAATCCCAGCAAAAGGATTCAGTTGTACATACATATATTCTTTTCTGCTATGATTTGCCAGAGGATATTGAATATAGTTCCCTGTGCTATACCATAGGACCTTGCTTCTATCCATTCTATGTAGGAGAGTTTGTATCTGTGAGCCCCAGTCTCCTACCCCATCCGTCCCCAGTACCCACGTGGGAACCACGCATCTGTTCTCTATGTGTATGAGTCTGCTTCTGTTTCATAACTAGCTTCGTTTGTATCACATTTACATTCCACATATAAGGACAGCAGGGTTTTTTGTGGGTGTTCTCATCAATTTATGGGAAGAAGATCTTTCTGGGTACAGTAAGTTTCTACATTTTTATGTTTTGATATTTGTAGTTAGATGATGTATACAGTCGCCACACTCAGTGAGTGATCTACTAAGGATGTGTGCGCTTTATTATGTGACATTTACACCTCAGTAAAAACAAAATGAAGCGATTGTGAAGATGATGTAATTTCCATCAGTGAGAAATGCTGATAGAGTCTTTATGAACACATGTCACTTAGTAATAATGTGTGTGAACTGCTTTATTAGATGCTTTGACCTTGATGCTCTAATTTAATTCTCATAATAAACACTTTATGTTTGTGATGTTATTCCCAAACTCAGGAAAATATTTTGTTTATTCTAGGCTTTAGAAAGTGAGTGTACAGCAAAATCGTGACAGAAACTCAAGTTTTTCCCTGTTAGTTTTTGCTTTTCCATGAAACAATACTCTACTGTTTCACTATTCCTACCTTGGAAAACTCCTGCCGAAGCAATGTTCACCATTGAGGTCTCTGAAATACCTGCTTTGTTCTGAACTTCTGAACTTTCTTGGCTCAAATGTGAAATAACAGCCTTTAATGAAGAATTATAATTTTATAGCAATCATGTATTCTGACTTATGATTCACTCAATTATCTGAATTAAACTATTTTCTTTGCCTTCACTGTTGG